AATAGGAAAGGAATCACGTGTTTGTTTAGCCCTCAAACACACATCACAAGTCTTGTTAATTTTAACCAATAAATTATTCATGCCAGGAACAGATTTCATCACTTTCAAAGACGGGTGCCCTAATCGTAAATGCCATAATTCACCTTGTTCTTCCGTAGTCACCGAATGAGACTTGGCCAATTCCAAACTGTGGAAATAGTACACCCTCTTGCTGTATACCTGCTCCAATCGGCGTTCTCGAAGTTCGATCCTATATCACACAAATTTCATTAGTAAAACATATGTCACATTTCAAGTCATCCATCAACCGTGGTATTAAGCATGCATTTCCTGCTTGATTACTGACTTGTAACGTATGCATGCATATCAAGTCAGAGATCCTCAAAATAAAGGCACCAACATGACCCACATGGTGTCCTTCGAATGGACATTCCATAGTGTCTTAGATAGTAGAGTTGAGTCCCTAACCTCCTTCCTCCTTAATCTTAGACGCATATCAACCCAAGACACCTTACCAATAGGTCCCCTAAGATGAAATGTTTAAAACGGTGTTTGGTAAATAGTTGTTCAGTTCAAGTGTTTTTGGAAGGAACCACTGAAATGAAAACGTTGCAAATATGAGAGTTTTGAGTTAATATGTTTTGAACATGGCGTTTTCTACTAATTTTATGGCCAAACAGCTAAATTACCAAACATGTTTTGGCAACCCGACAACGTATTCCGCTGGTCAAACTTGCTCAATGAATTCTCTATTGACAATCCGCTAACATAACCCGCTATCTGCTAACCGTTAAATGCCAAACACGCCCATAATCTTCTCAATGACTACATAAGGGATTGGAAACACTTGGATCCAATAGGATCAGATTCATTCTATAACAACCCTTTTTAGTTTCAATCTACCAACTCATGTAGTTTGTTTTCTATTTCAATGTAAACATCTTTATTTTTCAACCGAATGAGAGAAAGAAGCCACGAACACCTTAAGAGGGCCACATAATGTACCCCAAATACACAACTAGTTGCAAACTTTCTAGCGAAACCCCACCACATTTAGAATAACTTCCTTTTCATCTCATGCAACCCCTGCTAGAGCAACATTTGAGTTATCGATGTTATTAGTTGATAAAGAAGACACATTATGAAAATCGGTCATACACTTCAACAAATTAAAATTTGGACACACATCAAGTCACCTTTGAGGGAATCATCAGATCACATGCAAAGATCAAAGGAGATATTTTCATCCAGCCACACTTAGGGTGATAGAGTCACCATGCTTAGGGAGTGTTTGCAACTGCTTAAAAAAAGCACTTCTCGGCTTTTGGCTTTAAAAAGCACTTATTTACCAAACACTACCAATTTTTACTTTTCTCAGCTTTCGTGTGAAAAGTGCTTTTCCATTTTCTATTACACAAAAAACACTTATTTTACCAAACACTATCAACTTTTACTTTTCAAAAGCACTTTTTTCTCAAACACTATCAACTTTTATTTAATCACTCTTCCAAAAAGTGCTTTTTTTAAAAGCAGAAGCTATTGCAAACGCTCCCTTAGATGTTCCCAAACGCATCGGTCTAAACAAGCGGTCTGTATGAATAAGAAAGAGTGTGGATAACATAGGGTCTCTTTGTCTGAGTCCTTATCAAATCCATGGAACTCTTCAATAATAAATTGAAACAAAAAAGGTAGGAGCATTATGCATTCCCAAGTCCCCACCCAACAAAAATGAGTTGAAAGCCAAAAACATTTAGATCATCCTTTGAAAATTCCTAGCAAATAGTATTGTTGAGGTTTATTCCTTCAACTCCAAAGGCCTAACACCTTCTTTTGAGTTTCGAGAGGAATATGTAATAACACAAACAAATAATGGACAAGTAAAGAGCCTAGTAAGTGGGTCATGTCATATTAATCAATAACAAGAGTTTATCATAACACACTTCATTACAAGCCTGCTAGGCCGATTGTCTATCTAAGTCGGGGATGAGGGGGAATAATTGCTATCGCTAGAGAGTACAAGTTGTCAACCCTTTACAATGAGGTAACAGGTGTTGGTGATGTGAGGATTTGTGAGTGGTGATAATCATGTAATTTCCATGTTTATGTTTGTGATTTTAAGTAGTTTTGATTGATTTTCACTTTGGAAATTACACACTTTTGGTGTAATAGTTTAGTTTGTTAAATTCTTGTAAATTGTTTTGGTTAGGTTTATTCTGAGCTCAAACAGGTCTACTATCACTCAAAGGACAGTTGGTGAACCCCAAAAGTGGAAGGAAGGTGCAAAATCACAAGACAAAAGGGAAGATCTTGATTTTTGGTCTATACCCGGTCGAGTATCATCTATACTCGATCGGGTATCTTGTTGAAATTTCAAATCGGATCGGATCCGAAAACAAAGGAACATGCAAGGAAGATTTTGACCACGATCGAGTGTCTATACCTGATCGGGTACACCGACATACTCGATCGGGTATGGCTATAAATTTTACTCTAATTTCGATCGAGTATGGATCGAATTCGAGTTTCTACACATACTCGATCGAGTATCTGTATATACTCGATCGAGTACCCGAGCTGCACTCCCAAAAAGCCTATAAATACACCCCCTTTCCTTCACAATTAGATACCAATTCCTGTATACTCTTAAGCTCAGTTTAGAATAGCATTTCCTTATATTTCTTTTAGCATGTTTAGTCTCCAAATGAGGAGCTAAACTTCCATTTCTTGGTTTTGCTTTTGAAGCTTGTTGATTATTAAAGTTGTGAGTTATTTTCTTACTTTCTCCTCTTGATTATTAATTCTTCCCTTGATCTCATTCTATATTAATGTTGGAGGGTTGCTAAGTGACGATTAGTTAACGTTCCGACATTGATTATTACTAGAAACGACCAACGAACCGATGGTTAATCGTTGATGGTTTCACAAGTAAGTAACTTCGGTTTATTAATGCATGGTCGTGGTTAATAAACTTAAGAGGGATTAATTTTGTTGGTTAAACCGAAACCGTTGTGTTGAGGTTATCAATCTCAATTGATTTCATCAAGGAGTTAAAGAGGTTAAATGCTACTATTATATCGGTATACGGCGTTGTTCTATATTTGATAAATAGTAAGGGTTATTAATGAACGGTCATTGTTAATAACTACCCTCGATGAATTGGAGATACTCCGTGATTGAGTATTCGAGAGGGGATAAGTTATAGATATAACGATGATCGACTAAAATATATCAACAAGTGGAAAGTAGCAAGACCAAGTCCCTTTTATTCTTGAATTTAATCTCATATAAGTCGTTCATCTTTGTGTTTAAATTAAATTAAATCATTCAACCCAAAACCCCCCTTTATTTGTTTCTTTCATTAAAAAGATAATTATTCCTTTCCCTGTGGATACGAACTCTTCTTCACCTATACTACATATAAGTGTTAGTATCGAATTTATTTTGAGTGCACACACGACAAAGTGCACGTCAAGTGGCTAGCTTCCAGACCACCAAATCTACTGCATTAAATGTGTTTCCCGTCAATATCTTGGTTTCCCGCCAATGGGTCCGAACGAGCTTCCCCTGATCTTCTAATTCCGGGCCCAATTAAGCACAAGGACGGGGCTCCGCTCGGCTTACGCCGGCTTCTCCCCCGAGGCCCATTGGGCCAAGGCCAATAACCCCGAAATACATCAACTTATCATTATCTCTGAGTTTAGTCTCTAGTAAAGCACAAAAAGCTATATCATATATATTCCCTTATATAGTTTACAATAGTGTTTTGTTTAGAGATCTTATTCATACCTTTTACATTCCATTAGTTTCACTTAATACAAGAGTTGGAAGTAATACTTCCCCACCCCCCTTCAAATTTTCTACATTGAACAACCTCAGATTTAGTCCTAGGTTGGTTGGTCGGACGACAACCAGAACTAGTAGGTTTATTTTAAGATTCTGATATGTGTAGTGCTACCACTACTCCTACCATTTTTTCATCCCTTAACTTTCTTCTTTATATCGGTAACTGTAAGAATGTCATGTGAAATCCCTTCCCTTGGTACTAGGGGTGGAAACAGGCCAGGCCAGGCCAGGCTTTCGCCTAAACAGGCCGGGCCTGTTTTAAAAAGTGTAGGCCCAAGCCTGGCCTTTTACCTGTTTTAGGCCTAATTTTCGCCTAAGCCTGGCCTGCTAGAAAGCCTGGCCTAAAGCCTGTTAACGAGCCTCTTAACCAAGGAAAGACATAGCCAACCAAACTGGTATCCAGGCCATAAAAACTCTAGCTGCATCCATCCTAAATTCTTTGAAGTATGTAAAAACTGGTATCAATTTCCCATATGCATAAAATCTTGATTTTATTGTTAAACAGAGACAATAAAACAATAATAATAATACAGAGTATGAAGTATGTAAACTCTGGTAGCAAGACAAGACCAAATCTGATATCAATTTCTCATATGCATAAAACCCTGATTTTTTTATGGAATCTTGATTACTGCATCAAATATTAATGAAGTATGACTATCCAAACTAACCCAAAGTGTAGTTCGTAGAATCTGTTGATACAAGCTCACATATAAACCTCCTAGTAATAGAGTCAAAGCCATTATATATAACAAATAGACGACTGCATATGAGATTTAAGAACAGGAAGCTTACCAAATAGAATACTGCACATGAGATTTAAGAACAGGAAGCTTACCCAAAGAAGACTGCACATGGGATTTAAAGATTATGCTTTCGGTCTCTCATTTGGGGCAAACTTACCAAAAGGAAGTTATACCAAATATAATCAATGTTATCTTTTTTTTTTTGCACCCAAAAAAGGCCATGAATTTATCAACATACACAAAGTGAATTAAAGGAGAAACCAATGACATAAAGGCAACCTGCACACTAAAAGAAATTCAATGCAAAACTCAACCATAACAACCCAAAACTCAACCAAACTTTAAATTAAAATTTTAATATAAAAGAAAGTCAAGCAAATAGCTAATGGAAATTTCAGTGTCAATGCAAAACTCAGCCATAACAATCCATAACAAAAAGGAGAGTTTTCAGAATATATGGTCCACAAAGTCACAACCAAAACAATAAGAACAAAAAAAAATTCTCTAACAAAGCAACCATAATGGAGCATTTTGGCACCAAACCCAAGTAAGCAGCCCAAAGGACCAATAAAGCTTCAAATCTTCAACATTATCTCTTCCTCTTCTTGAAACTCACGTACCTATTGAATGAAAGTATACATATTAGTACATCAATTTGAATATATAAAATACATATGAATACATAAAATATATACCTTTTTTGATTTTCTCAAATTATATTTTTTGCGAAGCCAATCCCCACCACATAGAAGTGCTGAAACAGATTCTTCATTTAGCCTTGAACGATATTCATCAATTACTCTTCCTCCTGCACTAAATGTAGCCTCTGATGCAACTGTTGTGATTGGAATAGCTCGGATATCCGCAGCCATCTTTGACAAAACCTTATACTTCATGCTATTATTTTTCCACCACTCCAGTGCACAAAAAGAGAGAGAACTAGAATCAGGGATATATAGATCATCCTCAAGGTACACTTCTAGCTCAGATTTTGTTGGTGGTATCGCTTGCTTTTCACGAACAATGCGCATAATTTGCTCAAAGCCAGTGCCTGCTCCAGAACGTAGCATATTGGATGAAGAACTGTTGACACTAGTCTCAGTCACACCATTAGCAATTTCACCTTGGTTGCTCAATTCAACATATTCTTTGTAAAGAAACTTCAACGAAGTCATAACCAGTTCCATGTTCTCTTTAGCCACAGTTTCAGGTTTATAAATCAATGGAAAACAATAATTGACAACATGAAACTTGCACCTGGGATCTAAGACACTTGAAATGGACATCAATAGATTGCATTCCCCCCAATATTTATCAAACTTTTCTTTCATTGCAGCTGCCATTTGTCTCATGAATAAGTCTTTATCTTCTGCAGCTTTATCAATAATGTGTTTAACTCTCCAAACTTCAGGTAAGTACAGATTGGCAGTTGGGTAATCACTGCCAGACATGACATCAGAGGCAGAATTGAAAACCTCTAAAAGTTGACAAACCTTCTCAACCTTACGCCATTCTTCCAAAGATGGCTCATTGTTATAATGTGGTTCTCTTTTCTTGTAGGCAGGGAAAACAATCTTGAACTTTAAAGCACACGCTAACATCTTAAAAGTTGAATTCCACATTGTCGGGCAATCAAGGATGAGCATTCTTTCTTTCAAATGTTTTTGCACAACAATATTAGAAAATGATTTCAATCTTGAATCATTGAAATTAATATACTTCACACTCTCTCGAACATTATGAATGATATCTTTTATCTGACCGAGTCCATCTTGGACTAGCAAATTGAGAATATGAGCACAACATCTTACATGAAACAACTTACCATTAAGGACTAACTTATTGTCGAGCAATAAGTCATCCTTAAGGTTCTTCAAGCAAGAATCATTGTACTTAGCATTGTCAACTGATACAGAAAATACCTTTTCTTCAATCCCCCAAACTTTCAGACACTTGAATATAGCATCTGCCACATCTATACCACGCCGAGGAGCAGGCACTTTAACAAAACTCAAGACCCTCTTTTGAAGATTCCACCCAGCATCAATAAAATGTCCAGTTAAAACCATATACTCAGCTACTTGATGAGTTGATCTCCACATATCAGTAGTTAATGAAATCTTGCTCAGAGATGCTAACAAAGTTTTTAAGACTTTCTTTTCTGCTTCATAAATTTTAATACAGTCACTTCTAGCGGTTTTGCGACATACCTTGCAAAATTCAGGATTCGCGTATTGGAAGGCCCACATCCAAACTTCATCCTCAACAATGCTAAAAGGGTACTCGTGTACCAGGATTGCTGTTGCAATTATTTCTCTCATCTTTTCATTTGAATATCTAATGCCCGGTGTCATAAAAGGATTGACTGTTGCGGTAGAGGGTTGATATGGAATGATGGACTGCTTCTTTTGTTTGGCTAAGTTTAAACTCCTTTTCAAGCAACTCTCCCGGTGTCTCCTCAAGTGACTTGTGCTAGCTCCCTTCCCTGAGTATGAAAACTTGCCCTCACAATGTTTGCAAACTACTTTTGTCACTCCTTTGCTGATCTCAACAAGTTCAAAGTCGTCCCAAACCTCAGAAGTCTTCTTCCTCTTCCTCTGAATAATAGGATTGTCTTGATTACACTCATCAATCTGGTCATTGTTGACTTCTGGTTGGCTTGAATCAGTTGGTACCTGTGGTACTTGTGAACCAGATTCCATGTCATGGTGAGTACCAGTTGAAATTGCTTCAATAATCTCTAGTGGAGAAGACATTATATAAACCTAAATATGTATGTACATGAGAAATCACATTAGGGTTTATGATAAATTGAATACAAAAGAATAAGTAATAACAGCCTCAATCAACCTGGAAATTTTCAGTATTTTGGTTTGAAACTTGAAAGCAATTTAAAGCCAGATTTCAAGATTAATTAAAAGCAATTAAGCAAATTTAATATCATCTAAATTCTCAATTACTCTATTGAAAACATGAATAATTTCTTTCTGTCATTTCATCGAACACCTTGGTGCTGTGCTCTTTTCAAATTCCCACATCATTGAGGCATGATAAAAAGACACTACATATTAAGGATATGATAAGTATTACGAAACTGAATCAAAATAACTAAGAAGAAATTGGGAAAAATATATATAAAGAAAAGATATTCTAGAATAAAAACCATACCTTGTATTAATATGTCAACTACTTTGAACTTTCGAGCAAAGGACCGAAATCACTTAATGCTAGCGGTTAGATAGTCGAAACTGAAAAACAGATGTTCTTCTAATATTCTCCTTGAAATTCGATTTGCCTAGCAGCACGAAGAAGATGGAAAGTGAATACGAGCAGTCATGGTTGAAGACTCGAAGCTTCCAGCTATGTGTTCTATGTACGAAGAATTAACGTATGTTTTAACATTAGAAAAGTAGTGGGCTAGTGGGCATTCAATTTTAATGGGTTAGTAAACCAATAGGTATCAAATACGTAGTATGTATAAATATATACTAGTCCATAAGTGTAAACGGGCCGGCCTGTCAGGCCAAATAGGCTTTAAAATCGGGCTAAGCCTGGCCTATTAATATAAACGAATATTTAAAAAAGCCCAAGCCTGATTTGTTTACTAAACAGGCCAGGCCTTAACCAGGCCAGGCCGCAAGCCCCTGACAGGCCGCCTGGCCTATTCCCACCCCTACTTGGTACTTTCTAATTTCTTTGCAAGGTTCTTGACTTTTTATCCGAGTTTCCTTTAATAACCTCCATTTCTTTTTCATTTATTGTCACAACATTCTCTTCAGGTGTTACATCCTCTCCGACAATTGTTAGGTTAACTGGTACTTCAACCACCTGAAGTCCTGTTACTTTGCCCCCTTTATTGCTTACAAGCCTTTTTTATACCCATTCTTATGGTTTCTTACAATCAAATCCTCAAATTCCTCCCCACTAGCCACTCCAATCTGCAAGGTAGAAACCACACAGTCTTCCCCAATATCGTTCTCTTTCCATTTGGTGAAGAGACTTACAGGTAAAGGCATGCTGACCATACTTTTTATAATGAAAGTAGTAATTAGGGAAGGTCTCATATATGATGAATTGCCTTCAATTCCTTCTGGTAGGGAGCTTGATATCCAGAAACAGAGGAGGAGGTTTAGACACATTAACCTCAACTAAAACTCTAGCATAGTTCATCCTTATTTTTCACTAGTAACTAGTAATACCATCAGTAAATATCAGAACTCTAACTCTAGTTACCGAAACAAATCTATCCATAAAGTAAATAAAGCTTTCTTGTAGCTCTCATTTAAAATGAGAAGAGTCTTTGGACATTACTTGAGATAAGTCAAGAGCGACTCTCTCTATATACGCAATATTTTGAAATGCGAAGATTTTTTTCCTTCTCGTAGCTCTACTTGCTAAATAAAAAGAGCGTATAAAAAAGGCAATCCCTCATTCCGACGTAAGTAATGTAAAATCGTATTTTGCTGGTGAACTCAAGTGAAAGAGTAATAATCTTACTAATTGATTCTTCCTTCCAGCAATTCATAGGTAATTATGGCAGCTATATCCAGATTGACAATTTCAGGAACTCTTCATCTTCAAATGTAACCCATGTTGTAGATTTTTTAACATAAGTGATCTTTTTAAGCATTGTCTTAGTAAGCAAATGCAGGCCTGACCCACCTCAAATTTACTAAAGGTTTTTAGTTTATATAGAGTATCATTTTGTTAAAACTTTGAAGTATAATGTAATGTATGCTATACATTCTCAAATTTTCAGGAGTAACCGGATATTTCTCTGCCTACAGAAGCAGCAAATACCAACCTGAAATCTAAGTAGTCTCTCCATTATCCAAACACAAAAATCTAAAGCCCAGAATAAGAAAGAAACATAGCTTAAAATTGCATTTATAAGCGGATAATACAGAAAGAGGCATTTTCATGAGCAGTGAAGAATTTGATTCAAGAACTGAGTGTGTATATAATGTTAGCAACTTAGCATAGTATGTCAAGCTTGCTTGTATCTGTAAATTTACATCCAGGTCAGGGTACAGTAACCGCAACAGTTGAATAATCACCAACCAAAGGTTGAATATTCCATCCAACAAAGTTAAGGACTATTCTTACAGTAACAGATCTGTATAGTGAGTGAGGAGGAGGATAAGTATTTTTGTGGAATATAATTAAAACATCTTCTTAGCTTTAATTAAACCAGCCTCTCCTTGAAGCTCTAGCTTCGATTGGTTTCGACAGGAAGCAGCATGTCAAGGTAAAGAAAAGAGCATAAATCCGGCCTCCCATAACCACACCAGCAAAAGCAACCATAACAAGAATCAGCAGCAGGTAACCACTACTCTCCCTTGTTTCTACACCTTGAGGAGAAAAGGCGGCATCTTTCGCCTCCTCATCATCACATTCTAATTCGGCCTCCTTACGACGCGTTGGAGGCGGCTTAACTTCTCCGGTTAGATTCTTCATCTCCAATTTCGAATCTTTTCGCGCTGTCTTCTTTGAAGGGAAAAGTTTCTTCATTTTTGATCGGATTTTAGCCCTGCGAGACTTTCCTCTCTTGGGTTGGGGACCCTCACCATGATCTTCCTCAATTAGGTCACCCATAGCACATCTCTGATCCAAAGATGGATCTTTGATTGCCTCATCCCCAACAATTTCGTGGGTTTCATCCATTGGATCGTTCATCTCATCATAGCCCTCATCAAGAACAGCAACCTCTTCGTCTAGTTTAGTGACTCTTCTACTGATGGTAAATCTATGAGCTTCAATCATCATCAACCTCAAATTCTCACGCGATTTCGTAAAAATTGCAGGTGTCTCGTATCGAAACACGTTTCTCGACAAGTAATCGAGGATGACCAACAGGAACGCCGATAATGTGATCCCGACCGCGAATTTCTTAGCTCCCAGAGCCAAACCTGCCAACACGACCATCGTAAGAACGCCCGAAAGCACTTTGTTGGAATTGGCTTCTCCATCTTGACCGCCGATGGCCGGATCGTCGCTTTCGCGGGTTCCCGTGGTCGCGATTGAGGCTCCAGATGGAGACGGAGGCGCCTGAGACGGTGGCAGAGGCAGTAGAATTGGATCACCGGCACTCGACGGCGGCGGCGAGATTTTGTTATTGAAGCGGGCAGAGGGAGAGGGCTTCTTGAAACGGTCGCGATGATTGACGATGAGATCGACAAGGGAGGTGGGAAAGCCGGTCTCGACGACCAGAGGCGAGGCGGCGGCCTTCTGGTGGTTGAAATGATCTTTCAGCATTTGGCAGATTATGGCAGTCCTCTTAGCCTTCTTCCACGACAGCCCCATCGATTCCTGCAAATCAACCCAAACAGAGAAAAAGATCCCTCCTTTAAGACTTGAAAGTGCAGGAATTTCGCGTCATCAAACAAGGAGCGCCCGACAGACCGACAGAAATTTGTGTCAGAATCAGAAGAATGAGGATGTCCGAGTACAGGGGTGTGGGTACTCGATCAGGCGACGATTCACAGGGGCGAAGAAAAAAATCAGTAAAAGAGAAGAGGTGGGTTTATCTGGTTCAGGCAAAGGTATATATGGGGTAATAATCGTAAAAAAAAAAACAGAATCTGGAACCCTAATAAATCCGGCACTTCCAGGAAGTGGGAAGATATAGAGAGAGGGGGAAACATGGATTGTGAATATGATGGGAGGGAGAGTGAGCTGTGAAATGAGAGCGAGCAGCCGACAAGTGTTACCAAGAAGCCAACACCTTTTATATGATTACTCATTACTCTGCCCCCAATTATTGTTCCCTTTTCTCCCTGTATCAATCCCAATCTTTTAACTTTGAAGGAGTACGTGTATCGTACAAATTGTGTACCAATTGAAATTGAAATATACCAACATTTAGTTATCAGTAGTATATCATCACAGAAAAAGACAATCAAATGTACGGGTGGGCGCGGTTCGGTCCGGTCCAATATTCGGCCGAACCCATACCCGTACCGTTACTGTTCAAACGGTTCGGTTCAATCTTAGATCTAAACCCGTTCGGTACGGTTTCATTTCGAAACGGGACGGTACCATGTCATACTAATACCAGACAATGCCACTTTTTCCAACTGTTTAAGAGACAATTAAAGTTTAGTCGTCCTCCAAAAATCTACACAATTTATCAATTTTCATACTCATTCCATCCCAAATTGACATGCAAAGT